TTTCTTTTAATTGTTGTGAAGTGTACAATTTTTATGGTAGTTGAATGAAGTAAACTAATTTGCAAATTGGATGGAAATGTTTTTTTTTTTTTTTTTTGAGTCTGCAAATGATTTTGGGAAGTCTTTAAAGGACTTCCCATTCATAAAAGTTTGGAGAAGCTGATAGAGGTACAAAGGCTTAGGGAGAGGTAAGAAAATTAAGAATTTTTTCCTAATTTTTAAATACATATTCAAAATTAAAGTCTTTTCTTGAAGTACCTTTAACCATTAAATAGTTCCACGAATGCATATTTAAAAAGATTAAAAAATCTCCATGGATTACTGACTAACTGGTTCCAATATTTCCACCTGACCCCTCATAAACTACAGACTCAATGGTTCCAATGGAACTACTGACTTACTATTGACAATGTCTCTAGTGACTTTCGAATGACAAGCTCCTCCTCGAACTACTCTTATTTCATAAAACTACCAACCATTAGCTAGATTTTTTATAAGGAACAATATAAAAATTTCGGCAATAATTAAGTAATATGGCAACAGCAGGGTCAACAAAAAAAAAAAAAAAAAAAAAACACCCTGATTGGACAGTAATGTTTTTTCTTATACTGTATGTCTACTTACTTTTTTATCATTGACATCCCGCATGTAATAATCCTTATTCATTTTATTTCTCTCTCTTTTCCTAGTACATGTTTCCTTTCGTTGTTGCAACTTAATTATATTTTTTTTATTTTGCATGAGAAGTTTCATAAGTTTTTATAAATTCATATAAAATAAGGTTATATTAAGTCTGTCATTCCGCTTGTAACACCTAGAAACATAGATTTTATATTAGAACAGCGCGAATTTGCTGTAAATTTGCAGTTTATGTTCAATGTATGTAGGAAACATTCTTGCATGAATGGTCTATATAGGTCCGAGATTTGAAATAGTCCGAATAGTCCACGTTTAGAAATAGTCCGAAGTAAATTCGGATATTCCGTATTTTCTGTTCACCGGATGTATTGAAGACTTGGTGTTTTGGATTTGGAATAGGTACCATCTTTTCTGGTGAATAGTTGGATGTAGCTGTTGTAGACGTCTGTATTTTTTACCGGACACTTAACGAGTGTCGTAATACTTTATTTTCTGTATCTTTATTATGTTTAATATAATTTGTCTTATTACATAGTATTATTTTTTATTACATTATCTATATGTGTCTTCATTCACAGTATTTGTGTCCACTTATATTCGACTACAGCTCTACCAACCTGGCAGATGTGAACGACCCCGTTTACACGGGGTTATTGATAATTTTCTAAACCAGTTGACTACATACTTAAACACCAAATAACTACTATATGCTCTACCTGGCAGAGAAACCCTGGGTCTCACTATCCGTTTTCCATAATCGCATATTGCAGGCCTCTATTATACCATAGTAGTGTATTTGTGTTATCTGGTCCTTTAAATTTCGTATAGTCCCCTTACCATACCTCTTTCATATTTGCCCCTATTTGCGAGTACATGCGACACTTTAAACAGTTCTTCTTACATTTATCTATTTTTTCCTTCAGTTCCGGGAGCGAATAATGGTGCCTCATTTTCAAGTGACAACTTTGTCTTCTTCTTCCATTATATATTTTCTTTAGTTGATTATCCTCCTTTTCTTTTGTCTCATCGACCTTGAAAAGAGCCCAACACGCCTCCCATTTCATTTAGTTATTTATATTTCACGTCCTTTGTCCTTATTCAATGTTTGTTCATTTTTAATTCATTAATCATATTTTTTCCGATATTATGAAATCCGGGTTCTTTTAACGTACATCGCATTGAAAACGATTTAAGGAAGTCCCTTCTGAGTAATAGAGCACACCGGGCTCTGTCATTAATTATCTTAAGATTAATTTTTTTATTCTTCTTCTAAATTCTACAGCTGCTTCTATTTGGCCATACATTGATTTATACGCATTTGGCTCATTTTTCCGCCCCATTGCGTGTTGAGGCTTCTTGCATGTATTTGCGTAGTGTCCCATGCCTTGGCAATTGTAGCATCGAAGTTCCGGCTCCTCCTGACTACTTCCCCTCCTGTGTTTTTCGGCTGCCACTGGACTCTTTCAGCCACCATCTTTTCATACTTTGGAATTAACTTCTTAAAGTCGCATTTTTGTCACATTCATAAACACTGAGGCCGCCGTCTTGCATTCTTTCGGTTATGTACTCCACTAACTCTGCTTGTGTTATTGGAGCCCGTCGCCAAGTTCTTGCATTATCAATGCATATCTATGCATGACCTTTTTTCCACTTACAGCCATCCAACCTGTGCAGGATGTCCTTCGCGCCTGTCTTCTCGAATTTCTCACACAACTCCATCTTCAGAGCCAACTGTGCATTTGCACTACTCAAGAAGAATTTTGCGCTTCCGTCAAGCATTCTTCGTGCAAAGATAAATTTTTCTGCTTCATCACATCTCGTATTCGTCCAACCATTTTCTGATGGTGTAACATTCGTCGCCTGTAAATTAAGGGAAGGTTCCCTCTAAGTCTGCAAACGTGACCACACTTTTCTTTCGTTTCCGGCTTTCCAGCTCATCAATGTTATTTTCCAATTTCCAATATTCACGTAATTGACTCTCATTCGCTTGAAAAAAATTGGCTTTGTGTAGCTGTGCGTCAACTTGCTCCCTTGCTGTTGTAACGGCTGTGCCACTTCTTGGTCCCTTGTTGTTGACATGGTTGTGTCTTGCTCACTTACTCTTTGTTGCCATTGCTGTGCTTGGTCTTGCTCACTAAGTTGTCGTTGCGGTGGCTGTGCTTGGTCTTGCTCACTTGTTGTCTTGCTCACAGTGTTTTCTCGTTATGTTTTTTTATTTCCAAACTTTTTGTTGGCTTTTCTACAATTTCACAGTACGCGTTGGTTGTCCCACACCTGAAGTTGTATACTTCTGTATTCTTTGTCGGTCACTTAACGAGTGACGCGATACCTTTTCCTGTATCTATATTATCTAACATGATATTGGTTGTCTTGTTACATAGTTGTATTTTTATCGCATTACCGATTTGTGTCTTCATTTACAGAATTTGTGTTCACTTATATTCTACTACAATATCAATGATTTTGTAAAACCCCATATAACTGCAACCCAAGATATTCGGAATTTTTTAATTTTAATTTATTTTACAAAAGTTCCAACATAGCTCTTTTTTACTGTTAGTAAACAACTCGGCAAGATTTATTTACTTAATTTTATCGGTTGTAAAGGTCTAAAGGTTTTGCATTTTTGGATATCATAAACAGTGTTGCCGAAAGTGGTTTTGTTATGATTTTGGTGGTTTTTTTTTTTCATTGCGTCATACTGACATTTTATCTTTCGTTTATATTTTTAATTTTTATAACATCTTCATTCTGAGAAAGAGTATACTTTTCAGCAAATGGAAGAGAAAAAAGAACAAGTTAGAAAGCATAAGTCGGTATTCCGACTGATAGATAATATCATCGTTTGATCATATATTTTTGTATACGCTTTTTTGGGGTCGTTGCATAAATATTATACATATATATTTTCTCTTTATAATGATCTAATGTTTGTAGAAATAATGAAGCAGTGGCATTCGAAATGGTTATTTTTGGGTGTTCCTTCCCGGACACGGTTTTAAAAAGCATTCTGTGATTTTTTACTTCCCTGCAATGCAGTGTAGTTTTAAAAAGTACTGAAAAAAAGTACTAAGATGTGAGAATAAAAGTGGAACAATTCTTACCCTTTTAGAGAGGTATGCGGAAGTATGCGCTAATATTTTCCATGTTCCCTAATCATCTAAGTTTGATATTAATATTACCACAGATTTTATTGTACTTTATCTGGTTACCGTTTCGTTTTATATGAAATATGTGTGATTTTCTTGACATTTTTAAACTTTTTTGTATAAAAGAATCCGTTTTCCATAATCGCATATTGCAGGCCTCTTTTACAAAATACTTTGTACATCCTTTTGCGTGCGGTTGAGGCGCTGGGAAAATCTAACAATTAAAAATAAATATTTCAACATCATCAGTTTCCCAGTAGTCATAAAATATCACATGTGTACAATTCAGTGATCTTGTGCGCTGTCGCATATGGTAATGTGTAAATAATAAAGTCCATGACCCACACACACCAAATATCGATGCGCCAGTAGGTAGCCAAGATCACTTGAATGAAGGGACAAGCAGCCATGTTATGTTCCCTTTTTAAATCTAAAAATAGATAAGAACAATTGTGTGGCTGCGAGTAGGTTAAGTTAGATTAGTTTTTGTAACAGTTAAGAACAATATTTTTAAAATAAAATCAGATTTAACTCATCAACCCAAACGTGCGGTTGTGTTTTATTTCTCAGGAGTGAGATTTGGAGCTGATATCTACACAGAGTGGTTGGTTTCTCTTCTCACTTGTACACCTCTATTATACCATAGTAGGGTATTTGTATTATCTGGCCCTTTAAATTTCGTATATAGAAATTTCGTATACTAGTTTCATATTTGCCCCTATTTGCGAGTACATATGACACTTTAAACAATTCTACTTATATTTATCTATTTTTTCCTTCATTTCCGGGAGCCAACAATGGTGCTTCATTTTCAAGTGACAACCTTGTCTTCTTCTTCTTTCATTATATATTTTCTTTATAATCAATTCCTTTTCTTTTGCCTCATTTTCCCCACCCAACCTCTCATCGACCTTGAAAAGAGCACAATTTTGGGCGTTCCTCCCCGGACATGTTTTTAAATAATCACCCTTATTATGGTTGGCGTTGTCGTAGGCGTTCAAGTGTCGTAGACGTAGTCGTAGGCGTTGTCGTAAATAAAAATGTTTGGTATTATGTACAATTTTCGACTACGTCTTTTTTGTAATAGATGTAAAAAAAGCAGGGTGCTCTGGAATAATAAACAATTGTAGAATTTACGAGCTACCCGGTTAAAAGAAATAAATATGTCAGTTGAAATAGTTGAAGTAAAACGATCATTTGTTTAATTAAATATTGAAATATGTTAAGTGTTGGCAATTTTTTATCTGAGGATGAAGATGAGTATATTCAAAATGATTTAAACGTGAGGCGAAAAATATTGCGGCAAGAGTCTAACATATTTTCCATGACTGATTCCCAGTAAGTAAAATGTAAAATGAGGAAGAAGCTAAAATAAATATTTTTCTCTAGATTAGTTAGTTACTTCAGGCTAAGTAAGGATGCATTTAAATATGTTTTGGGTCAAATCACTCCAGACCTCCGTAACCGGGTTAAATCTACAAGTGTCCCAAATACACTAAAACTAGCCGCAACAATTCGAATACTGGCTGAAGGAAGTTATCAAAAGGGCGCTGGGAACGATTTCAATGTCAGTTTATCACAGTCGTCTGTCAGCAATGTGTTCCGCGAGTGCATAGAAGTATTGCATAATAAGCTGTGTCCAAATTGGATCTCTTTTCCCACCACAGAAGAAGAGAAATATGAAATTAAGGAACATTTTTTGAAAAATACTGGATTTCCTGGTGTGATTGGATGTATTGATGGAACGCACATAAAAATTGTTGCGCCAAGAATGGAAGAGAGATTCAAATACTTGAACCGGAAAGGCTTCAACAGTCTCAACGTAACGGTGGTATGTTGCATAACTTATAAATAATGCAAATAGCTTTACTGATTACTGTGTGATCATAAATTAAGAATTAGATATATATCATCACACCATCATGGATCCGTTCACGACTCGTTGGTTTGGAATACAAGTGATTTGAAACAACACATGAAAGAAAACTTTGACAATGGCGAAAGAAATACATGGATATTAGGTACATATATTAAATAAAATTAGTTATGACTTTTATCAAGTTCGTTGTTTTAGGTGACGCAGGATATCCATTGGAAAAATTTTTAATTACGCCATTTAGATCAGCTGACGAAGGCTCACCAGAGTGTAGATTCAACAAAATACATTCAAAAACAAGAAATATAGTTGAACGAGCAATTGGGGTGTTGAAGAACAGATTACGTTGTATATTAGGAGCGAGACAATTGCATTACACCCCTGATATATGTGGAAAAGTAACAGCAGTTTGTGCAGCATTACACAATATTTCCATACATTTCAAAATTGAAATGCCGATAGTTAGTGCAAACCCCGTACTTCATGACAGATTCAAATGATGTTGAAATGAACGACGATTTGAATACATTAGACATAAGATCATCAATAATGCTATATTTAAGTAATTAATTCATTTTATTATTAATTATCTTATAAAAAGTAAAATTCATTTTTAATATTTAATATTTTTATATTCTTCTTTAAGAAATTTTATTTTGTCTTCCTTTAACTTATAACCAATTTTTCTTTGTTTTAACAACTCTTCATTCAGTTTGTAGTTTTTGCGTTGGTACCTCTCAATATCATTTAATGATCGTTTAACATCATTATATAACTCTGTTTGCACCTTCAACTGCTCTTCAAGAAGTTCATATTTGTGGTCACTTTTCTTTTGTCTTTTTGAAGAAGTCGTTCTAACCTCTTCCTGAAGTTCATTTTGATTCGGGTTATTTGTGCTTACAGAGGGAATCGTACAGACATCTTGGATGACAACAACCTGCTTCTGTTGCGTATTTCTGTGAAATCTGTTTACGCTTGGAGGAGTCAGTATGCAGGGATTGTGGTTTTCTTTGTCTTCGCCAATTTCAAACCCTTCAAACAGTTCCTCCTCAGTCTCCAGTTCACCAAGTATTGCACGCTGTTGAATTCCAATTGCTTGGTTGCCTGCATTTACAATTGTCTCCAATTGTAACAGGCGTGATGCTGCTTCCTCCGTTTCGCTTAAAATGAACTGCTTGAAGGGCCCTCCACCTGTAGCACGACATTCTGCCTTGTTATGAACAAGCTTTTTCCTCAATTTAAATTTGTAGTCGGCCCAAACATTCATCCAGGCTTCGCCAGTTCGAACCGGCGGTCCTAAGATATTGAGTTTTTCACCAATTTTGTTCCATTCTTCCTTAATGTTAATTTTTTCAAGCCACTGCTGTAACCTCTAGCCAAATTTGGATTCCTTTGCAAAATCTGGATCATTTCATCAAATTGTTTTTTCGTTGTGACTTTAAATCTAGAAAAATAGAAATGTTAATAGATTTACATACATATATTTTTGTAATGTTGATACATACTTCTTATTCAAATCCATTTTGTATATAATTTATTCTTTTGTAAACTCAATTTGGGAAAACTTGTGTGTTGTCGGCAACAAAATCTCTAACGACTAATTTTGCAGCTTTTGTCGAATTAGAACGCGTCTTGTGGTACGAAAATTGTAACAGAATTTCATACAGAGTTGTAATTTTTCGCATACGACACAAAAATACCAATTAGTCGTTACGACGCGTCAACTTGCAATTTTCGACACGACTACGCCAGCCATAATAAGGGTGAATAATAATATTTAATATTAAACATGTGGATCCATTTTAAGATGTGAGAGAAAAAGTGGACACACATATATTCATGTGAACAATTCTGACCCTTTGAGGGAGGTATGAGGAACTATGCGCTAATATTTCCATGTTCCCTTATCATCAAAGTTTGATATAAATATTACCACAGACCAAATTTGGACTTTATCTGGTTACCTTTGTTTAAACATTCTGTTTAAACTCTGTTAAAAAAGCCATTATATATATATATATATATATATATATATATATATATATATATATATATATATATATATATATATATATATATATATATATATATTTAATATAATTTGTCTTATTACATAGTGTTATTTTTTATTACATTATCGATATGTGTCTTCATTCACAGTATCGCATATTGCAGGCCATAGTAGTGTATTTGTGTTATCTGGTCCTTTAAATTTCGTATAGTCCCCTTACCATACCTGTTTCATATTTGCCCCTATTTGCGACACTTTAAACAGTTCTTCTTACATTTATCTATTTTTTTCTTCAATTCCGGGAGCGAATAATGGTGCCTCATTTTCAAGTGACAACTTTGTCTTCTTCTTCCATTATATATTTTCTTTAGTTGATTATCCTCCTTTTCTTTTGTTTCATTTTCCTCATCCAACCTCCCATCGACCTTGAAAAGAGCCCAACACGCCTCCCATTTCATTTAGTTATTTATATTTCACGTCCTTTGTCTTAATTCAATGTTTGTTCATTTTTAATTCATTAATCATATTTTTTCCGATATTATGAAATTCATTTGAATTGAAAACGATTTAAGGAAGTCCCTTCTGAGTAATAGAGCTCACCGGGCTCTGTCATTAATTATCTTAAGATTAATTTTTTTATTCTTCTTCTAAATTCTACAGCGCATTTGGCTTTGGCATTTTTCCGCCCCATTGCGTGTTGAGGCTTCTTGCATGTATTTGCGTAGTGTCCCATGCCTTGGCAATTGTAGCATCGAAGTTCCGGCTCCTCCTGACTACTTCCCCTCCTGTGTTTTTCGGCTGCCGCTGGACTCTTTCAGCCACCATCTTTTCATACTTTGGAATTAACTTCTTAAAGTCGCATTTTTGTCGCATTCATAAACACTGAGGCCGCCGTCTTACATTCTTTCGGTTATGTACTCCACTAACTCTGCTTGTGTTATTGGAGCCCGTCGCCAAGTTCTTGCATTATCAATGCATATCTATGCATGACCTTTTTTCCACTTACAGCCATCCAACCTGTGCAGGATGTCCTTCGCGTCTGTCTTCTCGAATTTCTCACACAACTCCATCTTCAGAGCCAACTGTGCATTTGCACTACTCAAGAAGAATTTTGCGCTTCCGTCAAGCATTCTTCGTGCAAAGATAAATTTTTCTGCTTCATCACATCTCGTATTCGTCCAACCATTTTCTGATGGTGTAACATTCGTCGCCTGTAAATTAAGGGAAGGTTCCCTCTAAGTCTGCAAACGTGACCACACTTTTCTTTCGTTTCCGGCTTTCCAGCTCATCAATGTTATTTTCCAATTTCCAATATTCACGTAATTGACTCTCATTCGCTTGAAAAAAATTGGCTTTGTGTAGCTGTGCGTCAACTTGCTCCCTTGCTGTTGTAACGGCTGTGTCACTTCTTGGTCCCTTGTTGTTGACATGGTTGTGTCTTGCTCACTTACTCTTTGTTGCCATTGCTGTGCTTGGTCTTGCTCACTAAGTTGTCGTTGCGGTGGCTGTGCTTGGTCTTGCTCACTTGTTGTCTTGCTCACAGTGTTTTCTCGTTATGTTTTTTTATTTCCAAACTTTTTGTTGGCTTTTCTACAATTTCACAGTATGCGTTGGTTGTCCCACACCTGAAGTTGTATACTTCTGTATTCTTTGTCGGTCACTTAACGAGTGACGCGATACCTTTTCCTGTATCTATATTATCTAACATGATATTGGTTGTCTTGTTACATAGTTGTATTTTTATCGCATTACCGATTTGTGTCTTCATTTACAGAATTTGTGTTCACTTATATTCTACTACAATATCAATGGTTTTGTAAAACCCCATATAACTGCAACCCAAGATATTCGGAATTTTTTAATTTTAATTTATTTTACAAAAGTTCCAACATAGCTCTTTTTTACTGTTAGTAAACAACTCGGCAAGATTTATTTACTTAATTTTATCGGTTGTAAAGGTCTAAAGGTTTTGCATTTTGGATATCATAAACAGTGTTGACGAAAGTGGTTTTGTTATGATTTTGGTGTTTTTTTTTTTTTTTTTTTTTTTTTCATTGCGTCATACTGACATTTTATCTTTCGTTTATATTTTATATTTTTATATTTTTTTTATAACATCTTCATTCTGAGAAAGAGTATACTTTTCAGCAAATGGAAGAGAAAAAAGAACAAGTTAGAAAGCATAAGTCGGTATTCCGACTGATAGATAATATCATCGTTTGATCATTTATTTTTGTATACGCTTTTTTGGGGTCGTTGCATAAATATTATACATATATATTTTCTCTTTATAATGATCTAATGTTTGTAGAAATAATGAAGCAGTGGCATTCGAAATGTTTATTTTTGGGTGTTCCTTCCCGGACACGGTTTTAAAAAGCATTCTGTGATTTTTTACTTCCCTGCAATGCAGTGTAGTTTTAAAAAGTATTGAAAAATAAGTTTACAATTTAAAATGCTTATGAATATTAATTATTTGGGTCAATTTTAAGATGTGAGAATAAAAGTGGAACAATTCTGACCCTTTTAGAGAGGTATGCGGAACTATGCGCTAATATTTTCCATGTTCCCTAATTATCTAAGTTTGATATTAATATTACCACAGATTTTATTGTACTTTATCTGGTTACCGTTTCGTTTTATATGAAATATGTGTGATTTTCTTGACATTTTTAAACTTTTTTGTATAAAAGAATCCGTTTTCCATAATCGCATATTGCAGGCTTCTTTTACAAAATACTTTGTACATCCTTTTGCGTGCGGTTGAGGCGCTGGGAAATTCTAACAATTAAAAATAAATATTTCAACATCATCAGTTTCCCAGTAGTCATAAAATATCACATGTGTACAATTCAGTGATCTTGTGCGCTGTCGCATATGGTAATGTGTAAATAATAAAGTCCATGACCCACACACACCAAATATCGATGCGCCAGTAGGTAGCCAAGATCACTTGAATGAAGGGACAAGCAGCCATGTTATGTTCCCTTTTTAAATCTAAAAATAGATAAGAACAATTGTGTGGCTGCGAGTAGGTTAAGTTAGATTAGTTTTTGTAACAGTTAAGAACAATATTTTTAAAATAAAATCAGATTTAACTCATCAACCCAAACGTGCGGTTGTGTTTTATTTCTCAGGAGTGAGATTTGGAGCTGATATCTACACAGAGTGGTTGGTTTCTCTTCTCACTTGTACACCTCTATTATACCATAGTAGGGTATTTGTATTATCTGGCCCTTTAAATTTCGTATATAGACCTTTAAATGTCAATACTAGTTTCATATTTGCCCCTATTTGCGAGTACATATGACACTTTAAACAATTCTACTTATATTTATCTATTTTTTCCTTCATTTCCGGGAGCCAATAATGGTGCTTCATTTTCAAGTGACAACCTTGTCTTCTTCTTCTTTCATTATATATTTTCTTTATAATCAATTCCTTTTCTTTTGTCTCATTTTCCCCACCCAACCTCTCATCGACCTTGAAAAGAGCACAATTTTGGGCGTTCCTCCCCGGACATGTTTTTAAATAATCACCCTTATTATGGTTGGCGTTGTCGTAGGCGTTCAAGTGTCGTAGACGTAGTCGTAGGCGTTGTCGTAAATAAAAATGTTTGGTATTATGTACAATTTTCGACTACGTCTTTTTTGTAATAGATGTAAAAAAAGCAGGGTGCTCTGGAATAATAAACAATTGTAGAATTTACGAGCTACCCGGTTAAAAGAAATAAATGCGTCAGTTGAAATAGTTGAAGTAAAACGATCATTTGTTTAATTAAATATTGAAATATGTTAAGTGTTGGCAATTTTTTATCTGAGGATGAAGATGAGTATATTCAAAATGATTTAAACGTGAGGCGAAAAATATTGCGGCAAGAGTCTAACATATTTTCCATGACTGATTCCCAGTAAGTAAAATGTAAAATGAGGAAGAAGCTAAAATAAATATTTTTCTCTAGATTAGTTAGTTACTTCAGGCTAAGTAAGGATGCATTTAAATATGTTTTGGGTCAAATCACTCCAGACCTCCGTAACCGGGTTAAATCTACAAGTGTCCCAAATACACTAAAACTAGCCGCAACAATTCGAATACTGGCTGAAGGAAGTTATCAAAAGGGCGCTGGGAACGATTTCAATGTCAGTTTATCACAGTCGTCTGTCAGCAATGTGTTCCGCGAGTGCATAGAAGTATTGCATAATAAGCTGTGTCCAAATTGGATCTCTTTTCCCACCACAGAAGAAGAGAAATATGAAATTAAGGAACATTTTTGAAAAATACTGGATTTCCTGGTGTGATTGGATGTATTGATGGAACGCACATAAAAATTGTTGCGCCAAGAATGGAAGAGAGATTCAAATACTTGAACCGGAAAGGCTTCAACAGTCTCAACGTAACGGTGGTATGTTGCATAACTTATAAATAATGCAAATAGCTTTACTGATTACTGTGTGATCATAAATTAAGAATTAGATATATATCATCACACCATCATGGATCCGTTCACGACTCGTTGTTTTGGAATACAAGTGATTTGAAACAACACATGAAAGAAAACTTTGACAATGGCGAAAGAAATACATGGATATTAGGTACATATATTAAATAAAATTAGTTATGACTTTTATCAAGTTCGTTGTTTTAGGTGACGCAGGATATCCATTGGAAAAATTTTTAATTACGCCATTTAGATCAGCTGACGAAGGCTCACCAGAGTGTAGATTCAACAAAATACATTCAAAAACAAGAAATATAGTTGAACGAGCAATTGGGGTGTTGAAGAACAGATTACGTTGTATATTAGGAGCGAGACAATTGCATTACACCCCTGATATATGTGGAAAAGTAACAGCAGTTTGTGCAGCATTACACAATATTTCCATACATTTCAAAATTGAAATGCCGATAGTTAGTGCAAACCCCGTACTTCATGACAGATTCAAATGATGTTGAAATGAACGACGATTTGAATACATTAGACATAAGATCATCAATAATGCTATATTTAAGTAATTAATTCATTTTATTATTAATTATCTTATAAAAAGTAAAATTCATTTTTAATATTTAATATTTTTATATTCTTCTTTAAGAAATTTTATTTTGTCTTCCTTTAACTTATAACCAATTTTTCTTTGTTTTAACAACTCTTCATTCAGTTTGTAGTTTTTGCGTTGGTACCTCTCAATATCATTTAATGATCGTTTAACATCATTATATAACTCTGTTTGCACCTTCAACTGCTCTTCAAGAAGTTCATATTTGTGGTCACTTTTCTTTTGTCTTTTTGAAGAAGTCGTTCTAACCTCTTCCTGAAGTTCATTTTGATTCGGGTTATTTGTGCTTACAGAGGGAATCGTACAGACATCTTGGATGACAACAACCTGCTTCTGTTGCGTATTTCTGTGAAATCTGTTTACGCTTGGAGGAGTCAGTATGCAGGGATTGTGGTTTTCTTTGTCTTCGCCAATTTCAAACCCTTCAAACAGTTCCTCCTCAGTCTCCAGTTCACCAAGTATTGCACGCTGTTGAATTCCAATTGCTTGGTTGCCTGCATTTACAATTGTCTCCAATTGTAACAGGCGTGATGCTGCTTCCTCCGTTTCGCTTAAAATGAACTGCTTGAAGGGCCCTCCACCTGTAGCACGACATTCTGCCTTGTTATGAACAAGCTTTTTCCTCAATTTAAATTTGTAGTCGGCCCAAACATTCATCCAGGCTTCGCCAGTTCGAACCGGCGGTCCTAAGATATTGAGTTTTTCACCAATTTTGTTCCATTCTTCCTTAATGTTAATTTTTTCAAGCCACTGCTGTAACCTCTAGCCAAATTTGGATTCCTTTGCAAAATCTGGATCATTTCATCAAATTGTTTTTTCGTTGTGACTTTAAATCTAGAAAAATAGAAATGTTAATAGATTTACATACATATATTTTTGTAATGTTGATACATACTTCTTATTCAAATCCATTTTGTATATAATTTATTCTTTTGTAAACTCAATTTGGGAAAACTTGTGTGTTGTCGGCAACAAAATCTCTAACGACTAATTTTGCAGCTTTTGTCGAATTAGAACGCGTCTTGTGGTACGAAAATTGTAACAGAATTTCATACAGAGTTGTAATTTTTCGCATACGACACAAAAATACCAATTAGTCGTTACGACGCGTCAACTTGCAATTTTCGACACGACTACGCCAGCCATAATAAGGGTGAATAATAATATTTAATATTAAACATGTGGATCCATTTTAAGATGTGAGAGAAAAAGTGGACACACATATATTCATGTGAACAATTCTGACCCTTTGAGGGAGGTATGAGGAACTATGCGCTAATATTTCCATGTTCCCTTATCATCAAAGTTTGATATAAATATTACCACAGACCAAATTTGGACTTTATCTGGTTACCTTTGTTTAAACATTCTGTTTAAACTCTGTTAAAAAAGCCATTATATATATATATATATATATATATATATATATATATATATATATATATATATATATATATATATATATATATATATATATATATATATATATATATATATATATATATATATATATATATATATATATATATATATATATATATATATTTAATATAATTTGTCTTATTACATAGTGTTATTTTTTATTACATTATCGATATGTGTCTTCATTCACAGTATCGCATATTGCAGGCCATAGTAGTGTATTTGTGTTATCTGGTCCTTTAAATTTCGTATAGCCCCCTTACCATACCTGTTTCATATTTGCCCCTATTTGCGACACTTTAAACAGTTCTTCTTACATTTATCTATTTTTTTCTTCAATTCCGGGAGCGAATAATGGTGCCTCATTTTCAAGTGACAACTTTGTCTTCTTCTTCCATTATATATTTTCTTTAGTTGATTATCCTCCTTTTCTTTTGTTTCATTTTCCTCATCCAACCTCCCATCGACCTTGAAAAGAGCCCAACACGCCTCCCATTTCATTTAGTTATTTATATTTCACGTCCTTTGTCTTAATTCAATGTTTGTTCATTTTTAATTCATTAATCATATTTTTTCCGATATTATGAAATTCATTTGAATTGAAAACGATTTAAGGAAGTCCCTTCTGAGTAATAGAGCTCACCGGGCTCTGTCATTAATTATCTTAAGATTAATTTTTTTATTCTTCTTCTAAATTCTACAGCGCATTTGGCTTTGGCATTTTTCCGCCCCATTGCGTGTTGAGGCTTCTTGCATGTATTTGCGTAGTGTCCCATGCCTTGGCAATTGTAGCATCGAAGTTCCGGCTCCTCCTGACTACTTCCCCTCCTGTGTTTTTCGGCTGCCGCTGGACTCTTTCAGCCACCATCTTTTCATACTTTGGAATTAACTTCTTAAAGTCGCATTTTTGTCGCATTCATAAACACTGAGGCCGCCGTCTTACATTCTTTCGGTTATGTACTCCACTAACTCTGCTTGTGTTATTGGAGCCCGTCGCCAAGTTCTTGCATTATCAATGCATATCTATGCATGACCTTTTTTCCACTTACAGCCATCCAACCTGTGCAGGATGTCCTTCGCGTCTGTCTTCTCGAATTTCTCACACAACTCCATCTTCAGAGCCAACTGTGCATTTGCACTACTCAAGAAGAATTTTGCGCTTCCGTCAAGCATTCTTCGTGCAAAGATAAATTTTTCTGCTTCATCACATCTCGTATTCGTCCAACCATTTTCTGATGGTGTAACATTCGTCGCCTGTAAATTAAGGGAAGGTTCCCTCTAAGTCTGCAAACGTGACCACACTTTTCTTTCGTTTCCGGCTTTCCAGCTCATCAATGTTATTTTCCAATTTCCAATATTCACGTAATTGACTCTCATTCGCTTGAAAAAAATTGGCTTTGTGTAGCTGTGCGTCAACTTGCTCCCTTGCTGTTGTAACGGCTGTGCCACTTCTTGGTCCCTTGTTGTTGACATGGTTGTGTCTTGCTCACTTACTCTTTGTTGCCATTGCTGTGCTTGGTCTTGCTCACTAAGTTGTCGTTGCGGTGGCTGTGCTTGGTCTTGCTCACTTGTTGTCTTGCTCACAGTGTTTTCTCGTTATGTTTTTTTATTTCCAAACTTTTTGTTGGCTTTTCTACAATTTCACAGTACGCGTTGGTTGTCCCACACCTGAAGTTGTATACTTCTGTATTCTTTGTCGGTCACTTAACGAGTGACGCGATACCTTTTCCTGTATCTATATTATCTAACATGATATTGGTTGTCTTGTTACATAGTTGTATTTTTATCGCATTACCGATTTGTGTCTTCATTTACAGAATTTGTGTTCACTTATATTCTACTACAATATCAATGATTTTGTAAACCCCATATAACTGCAACCCAAGATATTCGGAATTTTTAATTTTAATTTATTTTACAAAAGTTCCAACATAGCTCTTTTTTACTGTTAGTAAACAACTCGGCAAGATTTATTTACTTAATTTTATCGGTTGTAAAGGTCTAAAGGTTTTGCATTTTTGGATATCATAAACAGTGTTGCCGAAAGTGGTTTTGTTATGATTTTGGTGGTTTTTTTTTTTCATTGCGTCATACTGACATTTTATCTTTCGTTTATATTTTTAATTTTTATAACATCTTCATTCTGAGAAGAGTATACTTTTCAGCAAATGGAAGAGAAAAAAGAACAAGTTAGAAAGCATAAGTCGGTATTCCGACTGATAGATAATATCATCGTTTGATCATATATTTTTGTATACGCTTTTTTGGGGTCGTTGCATAAATATTATACATATATATTTTCTCTTTATAATGATCTAATGTTTGTAGAAATAATGAAGCAGTGGCATTCGAAATGGTTTATTTTTGGGTGTTCCTTCCCGGACACGGTTTTAAAAAGCATTCTGTGATTTTTTACTTCCCTGCAATGCAGTGTAGTTTTAAAAAGTACTGAAAAAAAGTACTAAGATGTGAGAATAAAAGTGGAACAATTCTTACCCTTTTAGAGAGGTATGCGGAAGTATGCGCTAATATTTTCCATGTTCCCTAATCATCTAAGTTTGATATTAATATTACCACAGATTTTATTGTACTTTATCTGGTTACCGTTTCGTTTTATATGAAATATGTGTGATTTTCTTGACATTTTTAAACTTTTTGTATAAAAGAATCCGTTTTCCATAATCGCATATGCAGGCCTCTTTTACAAATACTTTGTACATCCTTTTGCGTGCGGTTGAGGCGCTGGGAAAATCTAACAATTAAAAATAAATATTTCAACATCATCAGTTTCCCAGTAGTCATAAAATATCACATGTGTACAATTCAGTGATCTTGTGCGCTGTCGCATATGGTAATGTGTAAATAATAAAGTCCATGACCCACACACACCAAATATCGATGCGCCAGTAGGTAGCCAAGATCACTTGAATGAAGGGACAAGCAGCCATGTTATGTTCCCTTTTTAAATCTAAAAATAGATAAGAACAATTGTGTGGCTGCGAGTAGGTTAAGTTAGATTAGTTTTTGTAACAGTTAAGAACAATATTTTTAAAATAAAATCAGATTAACTCATCAACCCAAACGTGCGGTTGTGTTTTATTTCTCAGGAGTGAGATTTGGAGCTGATATCTACACAGAGTGGTTGGTTTCTCTTCTCACTTGTACACCTCTATTATACCATAGTAGGGTATTTGTATTATCTGGCCCTTTAAATTTCGTATATAGAAATTTCGTATACTAGTTCATATTTGCCCCTATTGCGAGTACATATGAACTTTAAACAATTCTACTTATATTTATCTATTTTTTCCTTCATTTCCGGAGCCAGACAATGGGGCTTCATTTTCAGTGACAACTTGTCTTCTTCTTCTTTCATTATATATTTTCTTTATAATCAATTCCGTTTTCCTTTGTCCTCATTTCCCACCAACCTCTTCTCGACCCTTGAAAGAGCCACAAT